GTTTGTTGATTGATATCATTTCAAGTTAGCTTGTTCAAATTATCTTGGAAGTGCAGTTAATTGTAAATTTGTTCTACTTAGTAATTTAACATTTTTTCTACTCTGTTGTCTAACGTATGTTTATATCCCAGATAATGGGAGCAGAAGATTACTGGCATTGATTTCCTACTTTATACATGTTACTGTAGATCAGGTGACACCACTTTCTTTTGTTTTTCAAAGTTTGATTCCATAATTATTAATAGAGTGGTTAAAAATGAGATTCATTGTTGAAAGGAGAGGTAGTTTATAATTAATTGAATGATTTGTTGACATCAGTCAATTAATTGTAGTAATTAATTGACTGATTAATTGTAATTACTCACTTTCCCAGAAGTCTCACAAACTGTCTCAAAGCATATTTACATAGCAAATAATGACTGATGGTATCACTTAGTTGTATAATTTTCTTAGGTAACACCTGACTAGTTTTTTAGAAAGTTATGACCCCTCATCTTCAAAACCTGAAACTCTCGCAGTGATCCTTCTGAGCTCCTGAGAACTGATCCTAAACTGGTCCTACTTTTGAAAGGAACAGTAGATTTCCTTTTCCCTAATGGTTCACTTTGTTGATTTAGCCTGAGCCTTGGGATATAGCTGGGAAGTCGTTGCTAACCTCACTTCTTCACCTTCAGAGAAGAGGTCAGGACTCCTTAAGAGAAAACATTGCTCTGGCTGTGTAGGGTTAGGTAAATAGGCCCTGCAAAAATAAACCACAGTTATGTCAGCAAGGCCCAAAGAGGATGAATCTGCTCTAACACCAGTTTAGTTGTTGAAGACTTCCTAATGGAACTATTCTAAATCTCTGTTTCCTGTCAGAGGGTTCGGACAGTTCTGCTTATTATAATCTAAGGAAATATTTTTGATTACATACAGCTACTACTTGATTGTAGAAACATTATAAAGAAAATTTATGTGATATACATTATAAGGTATTTGCATATGATACCTCTGTGGGTGACGTCATTAAAGAAATGTCCAATTAGGGCAAAACTGATATTAAAATATCAATTATTAACTAAGTAAATAAATAAATGTTTTCCTTTATTTGTGAAGTTTATTTTGACCTGGGTAGTGGGTGTTGTATAAAAAAGATTAATTGTTGATCTGTGAACCTCTGTAAATTTCTGCAAGGTTCTTCCCAAAGTGTGCGCCTTAGGCTTTTGACAGTGTTTTATTTGGAGAAATATGTAGTCCTCTTATTCTGACCTCTAACTTTCCTTAACCTTCTACATTATGCTTACATTGTTTGAAAGTACATTTCAAACCTTTCAAGTGAATCTTGAAAATATTTCTTCTCGTCTGTTTTCAAATGTTAGTTTAACGGCTTGAATACCTTGCTATGGCCCCTCTGTGCACATGACTGGCTTATGTTAAATGCTTGGAAGAGCATTGCTTTGTGCTTCTAGATGGACTACATTCCCATAACTAATTATCAATAACCATTTTGTGTTTGAATGTTTATTTAATGGTTAGAAAGGCTTTCAGGTGACAGAGGTAAGCATTAGTAGGGCAAGTCTCCCAGCTGTGCAATGAGAGTAAACCCTCTTTCACAGAACTTTAATTTATTTTAGCATTTGATGGTACATCAGGGTCATGATCTGACAGCCTCCCATGCTGGCATCTTGACTTTAAAACCAGTGCATCATTGCACAGTGATCTGTGAAGGAGCATGATTCATTAACTGCGTGTAATTCTGCATTTCCAGTGCAAAGCTTATTCAAGGCTTTGCAGTGCAGTCTTGTAAATAATTTTAGGTTCTCCATGTTACATTTTTTAAATGAAGAGATTAAACAAAATGATTACTACATTTCCTTCCAGTTATTTCTCTGGTGTTTCCTGGCACTTCAGTGGTTAATATGCCAGTCAGTCAAGATGAACTTATTTATACATTTTTTCATGCATTTGTATATCTCTCTCTCTATCTGTCATCTATCTGTGTCTATTTTTCATTAGGGTTAATCTGTGTAACAGAGACTCTGAAGGATGCAGAAGAAATATTATTTCTTCTGATTTTGTGTCTTTAGGAGCTTTTTCTATATTTGGCCAAATAAATATGCCACCAAGTGTTAAATAAAAAAATAATATATTCTGATTTCCTTTTCTTCGGTCATTTTCTGGTGGTTGATTTTCTTCTTAACTTTTGATGAGGCTCATGTGTGGAAGGTTTTCCATATATTGCAACTTAAATTCCAACATGAAAAAAATTCACTGGTGGTACTTCTAACCAAAACTTTATAGAAATATTTATAATCATGAACTGGGCCGGTAATGTAGTTCTGTTTCACTCCATTTGTTATTGTGGCCGGACTGCAAAAGACATCACCTGATCTAATGTGAAGAGCCAAATTTGCTTCTTGCTTTTGGTATCCAAATTTCCTAGTGTGGTGGAATGCTCTCCTGAAACTGAGAAAGCTATTTATGAATCTTAATGTGCTTCTGTCTTTCTGTGTCTCTTGCATATGAAAGGAAGCAAATAAGTCAGGCTACTTCAGGAAGTTGTGGTTTAAAGTTTCCTGGTGATTTTGGGTGTGGTCCAGTGATGATAATGTTTAGGAACCTATGCAGGAAATTAGAGGCCAGATTCTCCTTGGCAACACAGAGCAAAGAGAGGCTTTGCTTTCTCTGTTGTTGAGCTTCTTGAGAAAGATGACTAGCACACGTATTTACTACCCAAGTTTAAAACTGTTGATCTTTTAATGTCTCTCTTTAGATGTCTTAAAATGCATTTCAGGACACAAAAATAGAACAGTTCAATTCTAAGGGATAAGACTATGTTGTTCAGGAGATGGTATCAAAGAATATTTCAACAGAACTTTCCTTTTCTTTTTCTTTTCTGCTGAGAATTTCTATTTGAAACACCACAAGCTAAGATTATAACTAGATTGCCATTTGCATACATAATGTTGCCCAACTTGAGAACCTTGAATCAGTATCTGGCTCTGCTTTCCCTGCTCCGCCATCAGTGTCTGCTCTGCACTCTCTGGGATTGGGGTGCTAGTAAAATGCAGAAGAGTCCATAAGCGCAGAGTTTTGTTCAGGGGTTAACTCTGAATTTAACTCTGAGTTAACAATAAAAATTGTACTATGCAGGGAGACCTGATCTGGCTTTGTCGTCAGGGTCAGATAACCCAGGGATTGGTTGGCTTGCAAGTTTGGAGCATAAATTTTGCAGAAGCTGTCCATCAGACTTTGTGTCCACCTCTCCCACTTCTCAAATATGACCCTATTAATGTCATGTTAGGTGTCACATATCTTCCCATAAGTTACAATACAGCAGTTGTTCCCCTAACCTCCTGTAAGTGATACTTTTTTTTACCAGTAGGTCTGTAGATGCTTGAAGAACAATCACTTTGATGCTGGCCCGAAGCCTTGGTTCTTGATGGAATACATGGATTGCTTATCAGGAGTGAATTCTAGATTAACAGCAATACTCTGAGTTTTTGCAGAATTTCTGTTTAGATTTTTATTGCGCTCATGTAGAATTGAAGAAACTTAAGAATGAGGCTTTTAAAGGAAAACTGATGAGAAGTTTAACAAAACTGTATTATTTAGGAGTTTGCTCTCTTTTTACTAATTCAGATTCATTTCCTGAAACATAATTTTTATTTCTGATCTATGTTGCCTTAATGTGCATTACCAGTTAATGCCATGGGGACTCACCCTACACCTTCACGGCTCCCTCTGGTGTCTGTTTTTCTGTTTGTAAGTTCATACTTGGTTGTGGGATGGTAGTGGCTGTCATACTAGAGTTAGAGTTAGCTACACGTCCCATTTACTCATGAAGAAAAGGTGATCGCCAAATTAATGCAGAAAATTGTGTTGACAACCTTATAATGAGATAATATTAAAATACAATTGATAAGATCCTCTGTATTTCGAAATTTAAATGTCTTATATTTATCTAATTACAAAAAGAGACTCTTCTTTATAGAAGGTTGGAAACTCAGAGAAGTATAAAGAATAAAACTAAAATCACCTTTAATCCTCTTATACAGAGATCACACTCTTGCTTTATTTCTTATAGTGTTTAATTTGTGTGTGCAATGATTTACAAATACCTATGCTAATTTAAACACTTCCTTTAAAAATTAGCGTATCATAATATATAGTTTTATATCCTCCAATTTAAAACTTATTAATATATTAGCATTAATGGATTATGATAGCTTTTACTTTAAAAACAATCAACAATATGATAAATGTGTTTATACATAAATCTTCCTAGGATAGGTTATTTCAACAGCTTTAAGGCTTTTGATGCAAACTGTCAAAATGCTTCCTCAAAGTCTGAACAAATTTTTATTACTAATTTATAAAGATTCTTATTTTACTTAAACTATATACAAATTTACTTTATAAAAATGAACAAAATACTTTCCCTTTTAATGGAAGGAATATTATTTTGTCATTTTTTATTTCTTAATGAGGATAAACATTTTTATGAAAATGCTTTTTTAAATTTTAGAAATAAATTTTATTAGATTGAAAGGGTGAACTATAAGTTCATCTAAATATAAAAAACATTAAAATTATGTAATACCTCAGTGACTTCTATAAAACTTCTTATTTTGAGGGAAGTTTTGCTTATGTGGAAAGGGGAGAAGGAATTTGTTTGGACATTAATTAATGCGAAGTTCAGTGATTTGGCAACAATAATTGTATAAAATTACAAGTATTTGTCATTGAATTTGAATATCTAACTAGCTGATACATGAAATTTATATTATAACACATTCTGTTTTTAAGAATGGGGGAAATCAGCGTCTTAAGGATTTGAAAACTATTATATTCAGTGTAGGAATTGTGAAAACATTTAAAATTTGTTATCATGTAAGGTGAAATTAACTGTTTTCCTTTTTAAAAACTCATCTGTGGAATATCAAAAAATAAAGCTGTGTTTGGTAACGTTGACGGCAGCATCTTACATTTTCATTATCTCTTTGCCTTTTTCTCTTTAGGACATCCAGGCAGAAATTGACGCCCACAATGACATATTTAAAAGTATTGATGGAAACAGGCAGAAGATGGTAAAAGCTTTGGGAAATTCTGAAGAGGCCACTATGCTTCAGCATCGACTGGACGATATGAACCAAAGATGGAACGACTTAAAAGCAAAGTCTGCCAGCATCAGGTCAGCATTGTCAGTATCAGAATAAAAATAATGGGGGTGGGAGCTTATGATTTTTGTATATCAGGACAAGAACAGGGAGCCTTACTACCATGCTACTTTTTCAGAAATGGTTTAAGATTTAAATGCAAAGCCTATTTTTTTAAGTTAGTTTTATCTCCATTTACATCCAGTGCCCCCTGCCAACTGTTCCTGACTATTCGCACATTTGCATATCATATTTTAAACCTAATAATAATGATATCAGTGTTATCAATAACATTACCAGTACCTGCTAACTGTTGTTTACATTGACCAAGTACTGTATTAGGATCTTTACAAACATTGCTTTATTTAGTATTCGGAAAATCCTAGTGAAATGAATAGTAAAATCCTTTTTTACATGAGGCAACCGAGTTTTAATGAATATAAAGAATTTGACAAGGTGTTGAGCCAACAAATGCCACACCAGGATTTGAATCCAGATCTTTTTGACTCTGGCAATAAACGTGTTTTTCTTCATCATGCTATTTGTAAGTCCAATTTGAAGATGTACTTTTAGAAATTAAGTATCACTTATGGACACTAAAATGGAACACTGATGATTTCACATCTCCATTTGGAGAAAGTAAAGTTAAATAAGGATGAATTTGAGGACCAGAATGCTAAGAAAGGACCTTGAAGAAAGAGCTATTGTGACAATTATCATTGGGAGTTTAAAACATTTTAGAGTTAAATTTACTAGATGGCAGACAGCACCTAACTGGGTATAAGTTTAGTGGAAACTGACTGAGAACATGTTGTTAAGCAAAGAGATAAAAGAAAAATGTTGGTAGAAAGACCTAGCTCTAGCACCTGGGTCATTTCTTAAATTTTAAAGTTCAAAAATGGTATGATATACTGAAAAATGTACAACCTTAAACCAAGTGATTGTGAATTTGACTCTGACTTTACTATTTACTTACTGATCTTGGGCAAGTCATTTGGTCTCTTTGAGCCTTGGTTTTCTCTTTTGCGAAATGAAAATATAAATATTTAACCCACACGATTGCCGTGAAGATTGACTGGGATAATCTGACAGTCTCTTAATCTACTTAAGAAGGCTGTCTAATACAGCCTTTAGTTTATTTTTTCCTACATGAAGGGACTCAGCAGATCTGCTTCAACTGATGTTTGGATTTCACAGAAGTGCTCCATGGAGTGCAGACGTCTTCAGTGATTATTTATTTATTGTGAATAAATTTTTTAAATTTTTTTCTTTCTGCAGAGATAATCCTGAAAGATTTTTATTCTTCTGGGGGCTCATAAAGGGAGATTTGCACTTCTTTTCACACTTAAAGAAAGGGGGTAATGTAGAATGACTGTGGAAACCTCTGTGTAAAGATTCTGGTGGAAATAATGTAAGCATCAACCAGCTACTCTTTTTTAATAAGAGAGGAAAATTAGGGAGTATGGTACAGTGAGAGAATATACTTATACTTGCTTAAAATTGGATTTTCAACTGGCTAGATCCCATTGGATTTCACCTTTCTGTTCCCCATAAATATAAATAAATAAAAAGATTTAAAGTGTTAACTAGTGAAAAACATTCACTGAGGTGCTGAAAACCAACTAGTCTAACAAGCTAAAAGCCATAGAGCTGGCCCGGTAAAGATTATACACGTGGTACTGGATTTTGAGAGTTTGGGGGATGAGTTCTTCAGGAAGGAGAATTTAACGAAGGCTTGCCTCATAAACAGATCATTCCAAATGGAAAGCTCCAGACGAAAAAAATCTTTGGCCGTTCATAGATGTTATTGACTAAGCCTATCAAGTCACTTTTTTTCCTAACCTGGAAAGAAAGAACTCATAAATTACAGTTGGAATATTATCTGATAAATACTGTTATTTTTTAGAAGATGGGAGAATAAGCTTTGCCAACAGACTTCTGCATCAAGACAAATCATACGTTCCAGGAAAATGTGTTATTAATGTAATGTTGAACTAAAATAATTTTTAGCCTCATTCCTCATCTCTGCAGATTCAAACATTTTTTCAAGCATTTCGTGAGATATTCTAAGTTTAAGGCATTCCCTATCATAAATAAGATATGATCCTTTCCTCTAGGGCAGAACACAGTTCTATTCGGGTTAAGATGGGTCCAAAGGAGGAAGTAGTTACTTTCACTTCAGATGCACATCAAAGGCTTCATAAAAGAGATGATTACTAAGTTGAGCCTTGAAAGATGTATAGTTGTCCCCAGATAGACTGGGTGAGGACTGGAGAGGGATGTCTAATCAGGACTCTGGGAACAATAGTGTGTTTTCACCGAACAGTTTAGAAGTTCAGTCTGGCTGAGGATAGAAATTGCTGGTGATGTAGCAGGGAAAGATAGTAAGTAGAGAAAAAGGTGAAGAGGGAGGTAGGACACAAATCACAAAACGCCTGTGTGCACCATGCTCCATTCCACTGGTGATGCAATCTGAAATCATTTAGATAACGTGATTAGATTTAAGCTTGTGGAAACGTCTCTTCCACACAACTATGGAAGATGCATTATTAAATGACCAAAATTCTGAAGACAAGGAGAGCTCTTGAGAGAACCTTTCAGATAAATACCCAGGAGTGGAATTGCTGGATTATATGGTAGTTCTATTTTTAATTTTTTGAAGTACGGTTACACTGTTTTCCATAGTGGTTGTACCAATTTACATTCCCACCAACAGTGCAGGAGGACTTCTTTTTCTCCACACTCTCACCAATACTTATTTTTGCCTTTATTTTTTAAAAAAATTTAATGGAGGTACTGGGGATTGAACCCAGGACCTCATCCCTGCTAAGCATGTGCTCTACCACTGCCCTATACCCCCACTTCCATTTCTTGTCTTTTTGACTATAGCCATGGACAGGTATGAAGTGATACCTCATTATGGTTTTGATTGCATGTCCCTGATGATTAGTGATGTTGAGCATCTTTTCATGTGCCTATTAGCCACCTGTATATCTTCTTTGGAAAAATGCCTATTCAGGTCCTCTGCTCATTTTTTAATCAGATTGTTTGCTTTTATATTGAGTTGTATGAATTCTTTCTATGTTTTGGATATTAACTCCTTATCAGACATATCACTTTCAAATATCTTTTCCCATTTCGTAGGTTGCCTTTTCATTTTGTTGATGATTTCTTTCTCTGTGCAAAAGCTTTTCAATTTGATGTGACCCCATTTGTTTATTTTTGTTTTTGTTGCTTTTGCCTAAACAGACAAATCCAAAAAAAATGTTGCTAAAACCAATGGAATGTATAGATGTTTTCTCCTAGGAGTTTTATGGTCTCAGGTCTTACATTTAAGTCCTTAATACATGTTGAGTTTGTTTTTGTATAAGGCCTGAGAAAATGGTCTAGTTTCATTATTTCACATCTAGCTGTCCAGTTTTCCCAACACCGCTTATTGAAGAGACCATTTCCCCTTTGTATAGTCTTGCTGTTTTGTTGTGGATTAATTCACCATATGTGCATGGGTTTATTTCTGGGCTCTCTGTTCTATTCCATTGGTCTATGTGCCTGTTTTTGTGCCAGTACCATACTATTTTGATTACTGTAGCTTTAGATACTGATCCAAAGAAAATGAAAACACTAATTCAAAATGATACATGCACCCCTCATGTTCATAGTAACATTATTTACAGGAGCCATTATATGGAAATGAGCTACACGTCTATCGACAGTTGAATGGATAAAGAAGATGATATATATGTGTGTGGTGTGTGTGTGCATATATGTGTGTGTGCGCGCGCATGCACACGCAAGCACACAATGGAATGTTACTTAAAAAAATGAAATTTTACCATTTGTGATAACATGGTTGGACCTGGAGGATGTTATATTCACTGCAACAAGACAAATACTGTATATTTTCACTTATAAGTGGAATCTAGAAAATTTTTTTAAATGAACCAAAAAAACCAGAAGCAGACTCGTACATACAGAGAACAAATTAGTGGTTACCAGAGGGGAGTAGGGTTGGGGGAAGGAGTAAAATAGGTAAAGGGAATTAAGAGGTACAAACTACTAGGTATAAAATAAATAAGTTACAAGGATGCAATGTACAGAACAGGGAATAAAGCCAATATTTTATAATAACTTTTTATGAGTATAATCAATAATAATATTGAATTACTATGTTGCCCACCTGAAACTAATAATATTGTAAGTCAGCTATACTTCAGTAATAAATGAACAAACAAACCAACCCTTTCAGTATCTAGGAAGGGGAAGAGAGACTGAATAGATACTTAGTTCACATTGTTGAGGCACTGGTGAGACATCCAGAAACAAGTAACCAGTAGCCACTGGACAGGTATCTCCTTTTCAAAAGAGAGCTGTAGACCAGATAGATTGTGAGGTGGGGGTATCCAGGTAGAGGTGGCAGGTGAGAATTGTGAGTAGGCAAGCGGGGGAAGAATTAGAAGAGGATAGAGCAGAGAATCCAGAAACTGTAACACATGAAGAATAGGTGAAGGAAAGGGAGACCAGCAAAGGAACCTGAGAAGTGACTGCTCTTGAGGAGGGAGGAGGACCAGAACAGTGTTGTCAGGAGCCAAGGGCACAGTTAATAGTGTTGGCTGCCTGAAGGAGTGGGGAAAGATCAGGGCTGCCAAGTCCAGGAGCAGTTAGAAGGGCTCTGGGGGACTTTTTGCCAGGGCTGTTTTTCGGTTGAGGCAAAAATCTGATCGCAGAAGACTGAGAGTCAGAGCGGGGAGTGCGGAGTGGAAATAGAATTATGTCCATTTTCTCAAGAAATAGAAACCAAGTCTCATTTTCTCAAGTTATCCTGCAGTGAAAGGAAGGCAAGAGAGAACATACTGCTGTAACTGTATTACTGTACATAACAGTATCATAAGTTTATAACTGGAGGTCCACATATCTTTATTAACTTGTCTCTGCTTTCAAATAGATTAAATATGTTTAAAGAAATGAATGTTATATTCTTCACTTTTAAGTTCAAAAATGGGCAAAACAATTATTTTAACATATTCACTATTGGGTA